AATTGAAATATAACACGATTTTCATACATTTAATAATATTTATTGTAGAATATACCTTCCATCGTTACTTATGACTTTTTGCCAGCGCGATGGCAACTTGTAAATGCCATTTTTAAAAAATGATTTATTTTTAGAGGCGAAGAACTCGACTAGTGCTCGGTTGACATCAGCTTCAGTTTTGAATTTTTTTCCTGTAAAAAGTTTTGCAAAGAGAGAAACAAGTGATAATCGGAGGGTGCTAGGTCCGGGGAGTATGGTGGATGCGACAGAATTTCCCAGCCTAGCTCTGCGATTTTCTGACGAGTCGCCAAAGCAGCATGTGGTCTGGCATTATCATCGGTAGCCATGTTTTCACGATCGCGCCTCGCTTAATAATGACACGAGACATCTTTGTTTCAGTTTATTTAGGAGAGTACATGTGTGTAAATGCAATGATAAAGAGAGATAGTCATATATATCTCAAATCTGGATTGAAACTTGAAGTGACACTATCGGACAGAACTTTCCGGTAGACCTAATGTCATAATTAGTACTTTGAGAAGTCTCCCAAATTCGAGTCAGATTTCATTTAAACTGTACAGGTTTATGCACAAATTGCCCCAACTTACACTCAACGTAGACATAAATCCAGCTGATTGCAGGGTCGGAATAATTACATCTGATGGTTAGAATAGGTTGGTACGAGCAACCATACCAACCAGTATCTCCAAATACTGTATTCGGTCGATAAAACTTGTGGTAGTTGGTGCCATTCTCGTCTTGCGTTTTGCTTATTTCGATGGGCGATGTATAAGAAAGGACTGTATTATTGTACTGTCGATGATTGTATTATTAAATCATATGTTACAATCAACTTTGATTGTTTCGTAACTGAAAGTTTTTCCTCCATAAAACAATATTATCTTATTGTTCCGTTACTTACATAATATGTTCGGTTAGTGGGATACGTGAAGAAAATGCTCGAGTTGCCGGAGCAATGTAGCTTCAGAGGCTCGCCTTCTTTGAAAATAATGTGGTCAGTTGTGGGTGATATATTTGGTTTTATAGCAGTTGAGTCTGCGAAAAAGTCTATAAAATATAAATGGCTTTCATATCAGCGTACACAGCAGCTATTACGAGCATATCATAAGATTCAACGTCTTCGTAAGCTTCCAAATATCAAAAGTCAACAAGTGAATTAAAACCGCGATGGCTGTTACTTGTTTGTCAGAAATTATCAATATTAAACTTATAAAAAATTACGAGATTCATTTGTAGAAGATTACACACTATAAAATGTTAGATTTTATTGCTTTTATGTAATACCGCAGTATTTAGGACGTCTGCAGTAGAGGAAACAGTAACATCACGCGAGAAAGCTGCGGAAGAACGCGGCTGGCTGGAGAAGGTTAGGGAAGAACGTGTGGTTTCGCCGAGATAAGCTACAATGCACACAGAAATGCAATTGTGAAGTAACATTTAATTTTCCATATTATTGTTTAGACGAACACGAATATGCAATATCGCCAACATGTCACCAGAAACTTCGAACTATCATTCGAGTATTCCGATTCGACCCTACAAAATCTCGATCTTCCTCGTATGAAATAAAATTCGGGTAATGTCATCTCTACAATATTGTCAGCGCGTTAAAAGTAGAAGTAATCCACCAGAGCACCGAAATAACCGGATGCTTTTCGGGGAATCAAGAAGACGAAACACGAACGAATGAAGCGAAATAGCAGATCCAAATATCTGGCAGCAAGGTCTACTATGACGGAATCTGAATGGAGATCATCTCGGTCACCTATCAAACATATTGGGTTGGCAGCTAAGTAATTGCCGATTTGGAGAATCGAAATAAAAAACTTTTTTTTCACTTGGAATGAAGTTTAATCTGCAATGTATTTTCCATTTGGTTCGATGACCTTTTGCCATCTCTCTGACAACTTGAAAATTCCACGCTCGTAGAAAGTCTGATCCTTTTCGGCCGAAAACCGAGTTAAGTGAGATTTTACAGCGTCGTCATCGTTAAAAGTTTTACCACGAAGGGAGTTGTCCAGGGATCGAAATAAGTGGTGATCCGATAGCACGAGATCAGGGCTATATGATGGGTGTAACATCAATTCCCAACCAATATCCATCAATTTTTGCCGAGTGGACAAAGACGTGTGCGGCCTAGCATTGTCCTGCTGGAAAATGACACCTTTACGATTGACCAATTCTGGTCGCTTTTCCTTGACCGCTGCATTCAATTTGTCCAGTTGCTAACATTCACGGATAATAAAAAATAACATAATAATAATAATAATAATAATAATTTTATAATATAACATTCACGGATATCATAAAAATGGGAGTGAGAGACATCTATAACTGAAATCGGCAATTACTTTTAGTTGCCAACCCAATAGTCAACGAAGTGATCCTTCGAGTTGTGCGGCTTGTGCCGAGCTATTTGACTACATGCTCGCGCGAAACGCTTCGAGGGTCACGGATGGTTGATAGTGACAGATAAAGCCGCAATTACCTCTGCTCAGATCTGAGAGAAGAGCGACAGCAAAGAGGAACTGTCGGTAGCGGTATAGCATTTTTTCGTGGTTATTCTTCAATAACCCTATCCAACCCTTCCTGATGCTTCTTTCTTTTTTTTAGGTATCACCTAAGCTTGAACTCTTTATATATGTTTGTACCACAGAACGTCATCACACGTGTACACTCGACTTTCAGAAGCACGTCAATTATCGGCAAGGATTACGGCCGCTGTCCTGCTGTCCTAGCCGAACGAACGTATTATACTAACTTTTCTAAAATCCGACTACTCCCCGGCGATCCTTTGACCACGACTTATCGTGGACGACGTCGTCTTAATCATCGTTGGTCGTTATTTCGCACCGCCAGTCGCTGGCTGCGACTACTTTTGTCAGCGCAATTTACAGTTTTGGCGAATTGAAAGTTGGTCCGAATCTTATGTTATAAAAATGTCGCTCTATTTTAGCGACTTTAGCAATACTTTTCCAGACGGCCGCTATTGAAACGGGCGAACTTCTGGAAAAGCTATCTTTGTAGAAAATAGATCGCTGATCGGTGCGCCCTTGGCGACCACCAATTTGTATAAAAAGTGTAGAAATAAAACTCACATCGTCATTTTTATCTTCCGATTCCATCGCCCGTATTAAATTTTTATTCAAAAGCACTTGACTGATTCATTTAAAAAACCATTGCGAACATAAAAGAAAACGCCTTCAAGACATATCTCAAGCGTTAAAGACGCTTTTTGTTTCAGATGTTAAAACGATGTCTCCAAGTTATCCTTAAAATAGACGTAAAATGGTCGTCTTTAAGATGTGCTCACTGGGTACTCAGGTACTGTGTTTTCAATACTATAACTTCGTGAGTTTCTTTTCTCCCTTCCAGGATAATCATCTCATTACACATTGTATCAATTATTGTACACACGATACATTCGTAATACACAGGGTGTCCCAAAATTATTGTACAAGCGAGAAATGAGAGGTTTTTGAGGTCGTTTGAAGTAACTTTTTCCTTAGCGGAAATGCAATCCGCGACTTCATTCACGAGATATTAACGAAAAACAGTGACCAATGAGAGACGAGATCACGTCTCGCGAAGCGGCCGAGCCAATGAACGGAACTGGCTTTTGGACCAACTCGCGCCAGCTGATCTCGCTTCTCATTGGTCACTGTTTATCGTTAATAACTCGTAAACGAAGCCACGTATTGCATTCTCGCCAAGGAAGAAGTTCCTTGAAATGACATCAGGAACACCTTGGGACACACACTGTATTTCCAGGTGTACTATTCGGTATAATGTATATAGGTACATTTCTCTACACGCGTCACGCAATTTCGAGTGGATTGCTTCGGGGTAAACAGCAGTTTCCAAACACTTGAGATCCCGCTTCGAATCGCCTCTCGATTATCCACAATCACATTGCTGGAATTGTTGCATCCTACGGGCAAATATTCCTTCATGCCCTTCTTCTGCCGACGCATATTCAGGTAATTCCCCGGAGTGCTTAAGATCGCCGGAGCGAAGCCCATCCCTGCCATCGTATACGTATTCAGCACCCTCTCCTCCGCGACCACGTCATTCGTTTTATTCGGATTTATTCGTCGATGGTTTGCAGTTGGCATAATCCTGATCTTCCCACCGACTGATTACTCGCCGATCCTTTGCTCGTGGCAAACTGCGCCTTCCGCTCCTGGACACTGATAGGTTTCAGATAGGGATCTTCCTCCTCCTTGTCCAGCATAAGCGATGTCTCCTCGGTGTCCTCGCGAATCATGCTGAAGTAGCCGGATTCTCTCGTGGTTTCAAATGCGTCGGGATTCGCGGGATCGCGAGTCGGCGAAGAAAGCGCAACGTGATCGGGCGCAGAGACCAACATCAGGTAATCTTCCTTCCCGTCCTCCAGCAGAGTCTTGTTCATGTCCAGGTATGGGACGTTTAATTCGATGTAGTGCTGGAATTACCAATTTTTTGCTTTCAATTCAGTCGCGAAGGGTTAATAGCTTTCGAGATCATCGTGGCTGAACATATTCTTTCCACATGATCACGGTCTTCGATTATCCATGGAAATGTGTGGAGAATGCCAAAAACTCCATTAATAGGGAGTGGCATTAATTAATACAGTATATTAAATATTATATAATATTTATTATATTATATTATATTAATATAAATATTATTAATAATATTATATTAATATATATATTATTAATAATATATTATATTTTGAGAATTTGCCAATTTGAGAGAATTTACTGTATTAATTTATATAATATTATATAATATTATATATTATATTAATACAGTAATATATAATATAATACAGTAAATTCTCTCAAATTGGCGCACAGATTTTACACAAAATGGACAATTTGGGAAGAGCAGATGCGATTAATATAAAATAAAATATATTAAATATTATATTTATTATTAATATAAATATTATTAATAATATATTATATTTTGAGAATTTGCCAATTTGAGAGAATTTACTGTATTAATTTATATAATATTATATATTATATATTATATAAAATACAGTAAATTCTCTCAAATTGGCGCACAGATTTTACACAAAATGGACAATTTGGGAAGAGCAGATGCGATTAATATAAAATAAAATATATTAAATATTATATTTATTATTAATATAAATATTATTAATAATATATTATATTTTGAGAATTTGCCAATTTGAGAGAATTTACTGTATTAATTTATATAATATTATATATTATATATTATATAAAATACAGTAAATTCTCTCAAATTGGCGCACAGATTTTACACAAAATGGACAATTTGGGAAGAGCAGATGCGATTAATATAAAATAAAATATATTAAATATTATATTTATTATTAATATAAATATTATTAATAATATATTATATTTTGAGAATTTGCCAATTTGAGAGAATTTACTGTATTAATTTATATAATATTATATATTATATATTATATAAAATACAGTAAATTCTCTCAAATTGGCGCACAGATTTTACACAAAATGGACAATTTGGGAAGAGCAGATGCGATTAATATAAAATAAAATATATTAAATATTATATTTATTATTAATATAAATATTATTAATAATATATTATATTTTGAGAATTTGCCAATTTGAGAGAATTTACTGTATTAATTTATATAATATTATATATTATATATTATATAAAATACAGTAAATTCTCTCAAATTGGCGCACAGATTTTACACAAAATGGACAATTTGGGAAGAGCAGATGCGATTAATATAAAATAAAATATATTAAATATTATATTTATTATTAATATAAATATTATTAATAATATATTATATTTTGAGAATTTGCCAATTTGAGAGAATTTACTGTATTAATTTATATAATATTATATAATATTATATATTATATTAATACAGTAATATATAATATAATACAGTAAATTCTCTCAAATTGGCGCACAGATTTTACACAAAATGGACAATTTGGGAAGAGCAGATGCGATTAATATAAAATAAAATATATTAAATATTATATTTATTATTAATATAAATATTATTAATAATATATTATATTTTGAGAATTTGCCAATTTGAGAGAATTTACTGTATTAATTTATATAATATTATATAATATTATATATTATATTAATACAGTAATATATAATATAATACAGTAAATTCTCTCAAATTGGCGCACAGATTTTACACAAAATGGACAATTTGGGAAGAGCAGATGCGATTAATATAAAATAAAATATATTAAATATTATATTTATTATTAATATAAATATTATTAATAATATATTATATTTTGAGAATTTGCCAATTTGAGAGAATTTACTGTATTAATTTATATAATATTATATAATATTATATATTATATTAATACAGTAATATATAATATAATACAGTAAATTCTCTCAAATTGGCGCACAGATTTTACACAAAATGGACAATTTGGGAAGAGCAGATGCGATTAATATAAAATAAAATATATTAAATATTATATTTATTATTAATATAAATATTATTAATAATATATTATATTTTGAGAATTTGCCAATTTGAGAGAATTTACTGTATTAATTTATATAATATTATATATTATATATTATATAAAATACAGTAAATTCTCTCAAATTGGCGCACAGATTTTACACAAAATGGACAATTTGGGAAGAGCAGATGCGATTAATATAAAATAAAATATATTAAATATTATATTTATTATTAATATAAATATTATTAATAATATATTATATTTTGAGAATTTGCCAATTTGAGAGAATTTACTGTATTAATTTATATAATATTATATAATATTATATATTATATTAATACAGTAATATATAATATAATACAGTAAATTCTCTCAAATTGGCGCACAGATTTTACACAAAATGGACAATTTGGGAAGAGCAGATGCGATTAATATAAAATAAAATATATTAAATATTATATTTATTATTAATATAAATATTATTAATAATATATTATATTTTGAGAATTTGCCAATTTGAGAGAATTTACTGTATTAATTTATATAATATTATATAATATTATATATTATATTAATACAGTAATATATAATATAATACAGTAAATTCTCTCAAATTGGCGCACAGATTTTACACAAAATGGACAATTTGGGAAGAGCAGATGCGATTAATATAAAATAAAATATATTAAATATTATATTTATTATTAATATAAATATTATTAATAATATATTATATTTTGAGAATTTGCCAATTTGAGAGAATTTACTGTATTAATTTATATAATATTATATAATATTATATATTATATTAATACAGTAATATATAATATAATACAGTAAATTCTCTCAAATTGGCGCACAGATTTTACACAAAATGGACAATTTGGGAAGAGCAGATGCGATTAATATAAAATAAAATATATTAAATATTATATTTATTATTAATATAAATATTATTAATAATATATTATATTTTGAGAATTTGCCAATTTGAGAGAATTTACTGTATTAATTTATATAATATTATATATTATATATTATATAAAATACAGTAAATTCTCTCAAATTGGCGCACAGATTTTACACAAAATGGACAATTTGGGAAGAGCAGATGCGATTAATATAAAATAAAATATATTAAATATTATATTTATTATTAATATAAATATTATTAATAATATATTATATTTTGAGAATTTGCCAATTTGAGAGAATTTACTGTATTAATTTATATAATATTATATAATATTATATATTATATTAATACAGTAATATATAATATAATACAGTAAATTCTCTCAAATTGGCGCACAGATTTTACACAAAATGGACAATTTGGGAAGAGCAGATGCGATTAATATAAAATAAAATATATTAAATATTATATTTATTATTAATATAAATATTATTAATAATATATTATATTTTGAGAATTTGCCAATTTGAGAGAATTTACTGTATTAATTTATATAATATTATATAATATTATATATTATATTAATACAGTAATATATAATATAATACAGTAAATTCTCTCAAATTGGCGCACAGATTTTACACAAAATGGACAATTTGGGAAGAGCAGATGCGATTAATATAAAATAAAATATATTAAATATTATATTTATTATTAATATAAATATTATTAATAATATATTATATTTTGAGAATTTGCCAATTTGAGAGAATTTACTGTATTAATTTATATAATATTATATAATATTATATATTATATTAATACAGTAATATATAATATAATACAGTAAATTCTCTCAAATTGGCGCACAGATTTTACACAAAATGGACAATTTGGGAAGAGCAGATGCGATTAATATAAAATAAAATATATTAAATATTATATTTATTATTAATATAAATATTATTAATAATATATTATATTTTGAGAATTTGCCAATTTGAGAGAATTTACTGTATTAATTTATATAATATTATATATTATATATTATATAAAATACAGTAAATTCTCTCAAATTGGCGCACAGATTTTACACAAAATGGACAATTTGGGAAGAGCAGATGCGATTAATATAAAATAAAATATATTAAATATTATATTTATTATTAATATAAATATTATTAATAATATATTATATTTTGAGAATTTGCCAATTTGAGAGAATTTACTGTATTAATTTATATAATATTATATAATATTATATATTATATTAATACAGTAATATATAATATAATACAGTAAATTCTCTCAAATTGGCGCACAGATTTTACACAAAATGGACAATTTGGGAAGAGCAGATGCGATTAATATAAAATAAAATATATTAAATATTATATTTATTATTAATATAAATATTATTAATAATATATTATATTTTGAGAATTTGCCAATTTGAGAGAATTTACTGTATTAATTTATATAATATTATATAATATTATATATTATATTAATACAGTAATATATAATATAATACAGTAAATTCTCTCAAATTGGCGCACAGATTTTACACAAAATGGACAATTTGGGAAGAGCAGATGCGATTAATATAAAATAAAATATATTAAATATTATATTTATTATTAATATAAATATTATTAATAATATATTATATTTTGAGAATTTGCCAATTTGAGAGAATTTACTGTATTAATTTATATAATATTATATAATATTATATATTATATTAATACAGTAATATATAATATAATACAGTAAATTCTCTCAAATTGGCGCACAGATTTTACACAAAATGGACAATTTGGGAAGAGCAGATGCGATTAATATAAAATAAAATATATTAAATATTATATTTATTATTAATATAAATATTATTAATAATATATTATATTTTGAGAATTTGCCAATTTGAGAGAATTTACTGTATTAATTTATATAATATTATATATTATATATTATATAAAATACAGTAAATTCTCTCAAATTGGCGCACAGATTTTACACAAAATGGACAATTTGGGAAGAGCAGATGCGATTAATATAAAATAAAATATATTAAATATTATATTTATTATTAATATAAATATTATTAATAATATATTATATTTTGAGAATTTGCCAATTTGAGAGAATTTACTGTATTAATTTATATAATATTATATAATATTATATATTATATTAATACAGTAATATATAATATAATACAGTAAATTCTCTCAAATTGGCGCACAGATTTTACACAAAATGGACAATTTGGGAAGAGCAGATGCGATTAATATAAAATAAAATATATTAAATATTATATTTATTATTAATATAAATATTATTAATAATATATTATATTTTGAGAATTTGCCAATTTGAGAGAATTTACTGTATTAATTTATATAATATTATATAATATTATATATTATATTAATACAGTAATATATAATATAATACAGTAAATTCTCTCAAATTGGCGCACAGATTTTACACAAAATGGACAATTTGGGAAGAGCAGATGCGATTAATATAAAATAAAATATATTAAATATTATATTTATTATTAATATAAATATTATTAATAATATATTATATTTTGAGAATTTGCCAATTTGAGAGAATTTACTGTATTAATTTATATAATATTATATAATATTATATATTATATTAATACAGTAATATATAATATAATACAGTAAATTCTCTCAAATTGGCGCACAGATTTTACACAAAATGGACAATTTGGGAAGAGCAGATGCGATTAATATAAAATAAAATATATTAAATATTATATTTATTATTAATATAAATATTATTAATAATATATTATATTTTGAGAATTTGCCAATTTGAGAGAATTTACTGTATTAATTTATATAATATTATATATTATATATTATATAAAATACAGTAAATTCTCTCAAATTGGCGCACAGATTTTACACAAAATGGACAATTTGGGAAGAGCAGATGCGATTAATGGAGCCTTGAGGCTTGTTTATCCATTTCTGTGTATGATCTGAGCATCAATTACGGGGAAATTTACTGTATTTCGATCTGAACGTAGCGACACGAAGATCACTCAACGAACTTACCGCTCTTACATTCTTCTCCAACAAATTTCCTACTCTGTCGACTAGCTCCGTGAAACTTGGACGCAGATAAGGCTTGTCCTTCCAACACCAATGCATTATGTCGTACCTGGAAATGATAAATTGCAAAGCATCAGTTATCGATTACAAATTGCACTGTTCGTATGTATTGCAGTCCTCGACGTACGATGATTAACCACGCTGATACAGTTGACCACGCCATTTGGAAGATTTGGAAATTTGCATTCGGGGTGAAGTTTGCAAGGGGTCATGTTCAATTAGGAGTTTAAAAAGATGATATTTCTGGGGGAATTTTCTTCTCTGAAAATATTTTTAAGACCTTTCTCAATCAATGATTCTTTATTTAAAATATCAGGCCATATGTTACTAGTTATATTTTCTTTTTTATGAACCGTAAATTTTAAGAGTTCTCAACACTTTGACGGCCGCGGCAAGTATCTCAAATATTTCATACAATTAAATTATTTCATTCAATTTAATTAAAATTCCAAAGCACAAAGTTTTATATAACATAACTACTTCTTCAATATTGTTACCACTTGTGAATCTGGATAATATGAAGTTGTAGTGGAACAGCCTATGAAAAGGAATGATCAAAAACTAAATTTGAAATAATTCTGTCACCAACATATAGGTGACGCGGCAGCCAAAGTGCTAATGGCGTAATTATGATACACTTTTTTAATAGCGTAATTATGATATACTTCGTTGATAATACAAATAGGATATAGTCTGTTAATAACATAATTATGAGACATTTTTTAGAAAGCTGCGCTGAATCGATTTTCATAATTGAAATTTTCGCGATGTCATGTGTACGTGACAACGGCTGTCAAAGTGTTAAAGTCCCAGCTCTTATATAATTAAATGACAATATCTCCGTCAAGATCAACCCGATCACAATGGAACTATCAGAAAATACTCTCTCGTAAGCAATCAAAACCTAACAATTGATTTTTTGAAGATTTCTGACCGAGCATAACCCCTTAAAAGAAGTTCATTCAGGTACTCGATGAGACACATTCGTTGACATATGTTTAGAAAGTCAGAAATCTTTAAACTGTTCCGTTTAATTAGTTTTCGAATATAATTCCAAGGTAAAAAATCTCGAGTGAACCTACACTTCGGGGGTGGCATATTCTGGCTGCCCCATTCTGTAACCCTCGATCAGCTTCTGGTACACTATCTCCGACTCAATTCCAGGATACGGAGTCATAGCCAGCGTAAAAAACTCCCACAGTACTATGCCGAACGACCAAATGTCCGATTGCGTGGAGAAAATTCGATCTCTCATTGCTTCGATGGCCAGCCACTTAATGGGTAATGGACCGTTGCTTTTCTTTTTGTAAATTTCTTCTTTGTACATGCTCTTGGCCAGACCGAAGTCGCATATCTTCACTACATTGTCATCGGCCAGCAGGATATTTCTAGCGGCCAGGTCACCGTGTAATACCTGTACATTCATTTTAAAAAAATGGTATATATGCGATCCGACATTTGTCCAGTAGCTTATCTCCAATGCAAATGAAATATTGCAAAAGTCACAGTTCACTATTCAATTGTTATATAAATAGACTGCAGATATTACGCTAATTCGTAGTAAGTATAGAACATATAGAATTGTCAAGCACAAAACAAAGTGAATACTACCAAAAATGATTGATATTTTCATTTTCATTTAATTATATAGTTCGCTTTGAAATAGAAATTTTCTGTATAGTACAGTTCTGATAGAATTATTTGAGACGAGAACTCGCAGAAACTCACCCTTCTCTGGCTGAGATATTCCATTCCACGAGCTACTTGGAACGCCCAGGACAACAGATCCTGCGTGCA